AGTGACGTGATCTCGGCTCACTGCAACCTCTGCCTCTGGGGTTCAAGCAATTCTCCTGCCTCAGCCTCCCAAGTAGCTGGGACTACAGGCGCCCGTCACCACACCTAGCTAATTTTTGTATTTTTAGTAGAGACTAAACAACTTTTTTTTAATCTTGTTCCCTTTGTGTGTATTTTATTTCACCATGTTGGCCAGGATGGTCTTGATCTCTTGACCTCATGATCTGCCCACCTTAGCCTCCCAAAGTGCTGGGATTACAGGCATGAGCCACCGTGCCCAGGCCTCATGTTAGCTTTTATAAACAGAAAGTAGACTGTGAATCCTCTGGGAAAGTTGTAGTGTAGATAGAGACCTGTCTGGAAAGCTTACCTGCAGCTTTGTTTGAAGGTAAGAAAATAGACTACATAAGTTATGCATTATTTTTAAAATTTTGTTACACTGTTTTCACAGTAAAATATTTAATACAAAAAGAAATGTTAATGGAAAAACACGTCAGTAATTTCACCAAACAACTTTTTTTCTTTTTTTGAGACAGATTCTCACTCTGTCGCCCAGGCCAGAGTGCAGTGACACCATCTCAGTTCACTGCAACCACCTCCTGGGTTTAAGCGATTCTCCTGTCTCAGCCTTCCGAGTAGCTGGGACTACAGGCACGTGCCACCACGTCTGGCTCATTTTCTTTTTTCTTTCCTTTTTTTTTTTTTTGAGATGGAGTCTTTGTTCTGTCGCCCAGGCTGGAGTGCAGTGGCATGATCTCAGCTCACTGCAAGCTCTGCCTCTGGGGTTCACACCATTCTCCTGCCTCAGCCTCCCAAGTAGCTGGGATTACAGGTGCCCGCCACCACACCCAGCTAATTTTTTTGTATTTTTTAGTAGAGATGGAGTTTCACTGTGTTAGCCAGGATGGTCTTGATCTGCTGACCTCATGATCCACCCACCTTGGCCTCCCAAAGTGCTGGGATTACAGGTGTGAGCCACCGTGCCCGGCCTAAAAAACTTTTTTTTTTTCTTGTTCCCTTTGTCTGTGTGTGTCTCTAGATAAATAATGTTATATTACAGTTTTTTATTTATTTTTTTTTTTTGAGTCAGAGTCTCACTCTGTTGCCAAGGCTGGAGTACAGTGGCATGATCTCAACTCACTGCAACCTCCGCCTCCCAGGTTCAAGTGATTCTCCTGCCTCAGCCTCCTGAATAGCTGGGACTACAGGCATGTGCCACCACGCCTGGCTAATTTTTGTATTTTTAGCAGAGATGGGTTTTCACCTCATTGTCCAGGCTGGTCTCGAACTCCTGACCTCAGATGATCCACCTGCCTCGGCCTCCCAAAGTGCTGGGATTACAGGTGTGAGCTACCGCGCCTGGCCTGTAGTTGTTTCATAATATTCAATTATGGTATGGAATTTATCTTACGTTTACACATTATATATTTTTTAAAAAGAAGAGAAGCCTATTTGATGATATTTTTCCTTTTTGCATTTTTTTCCTCTGAAATTCTTCAGGACACATATTGAAGGAAATGTGGATATTGGAGATTTGACCTGGGAGCAGAAGGAAAAAGTCTTGCGATTGCTCTTTGCAAAAATGAATGGCTGTCCTTCTAGGTAACTCCCAATTTCTGCATTGAAATACCAAGTTGTTATCAAATCTAGAAACCACATAGGAATAATGAACTTATTTTTCTTACTTAGAACTAAAGGGATGGGAAAGGACCAGAAAATATAAAAAGGCCCTACTGCTTAACTACTGCAGCTCCCAGAGATAAAGAGTGGGAATGAGTGAGCATGAAAATGAAAGATGAATTGGAATTACAGGGGGAGGGGAAGATTCACCTTAGATGTTTAAGGTAGTGCTTACTCAGAAGCTACAATATTGCTCAGCTGAATGAGTGGCAACTGAAGATAAACATAACAATATTAAGATTTTATTGGTTTGCAAAGATAAGTAAATTTTTTTTTTTTTTTTTGAGATGGGGTCTCATTCTGTCACCCAGGCCAGAGTGCAGTGGCACAATCACAGCTCACTGTAACCTCCACTTCCCAGGCACAAGTGATCCTCCCACCTGAGTCTACTGAGTAGCTGAGACTACAGACATGTGCCACATGTGGCCTGGCTAATTTTTTTTTTTTGTTTTGTTTTGAGAAGCAGTCTCATTTTGTCACCCAGGCTGGAGTGCAGTGGTGCAATCTCGGCTCACTGCAACCTCTGCCTCCTGGGTTCAAGTGATTCTCGTGCCTCAGCCTCCCGAGTAGCTGGGATTACAGGTGCCACCGCCATGCCTGGCTAATTTTTGTGTTTTTTGTAGAGACGGGAGTTTCACCATGTTAGCCATGCCAGTCTCGAACTCCTGACCTGAGGTGACCCGCCCGCCTCAGCCTCCTAAAATGCTGAGATTACAGGCACTCAGCCACTGTGCCCAGCCCTAATTTTGTATTTTTAGTAAAGACAGGGTTTCACCATGTTGGCCAGGCTGGTCTCAAACTTCTGACCTCAGGTGATCCACTCACATCGGCTTCCCAAAGTGCTGGGATTACAGGCATGAGCCACTGCACCTGGCCAGTTGTACATTTTAAAATAACTAAAAGAGTATAATTGGATTGTAACACAAAGGATAAATACTTGAAGGGATGGATACTTCATTCTCTATGATGTGATTATTTCACATTGCATGCCTGTATTAAAACATCTCACGTACCCCACAAATACATATACCTACTATCACCCACAAAAATACAAAATAAAAAAAAATTAAAATATGAAAAAAAATATGAAGGCATGAGGAGACACTGCCTCATTCATTATCTTTGTTGACTTTCACCTACCACAGGAAATACAACCAGAGTTCTAAGCCTCCAGTTCCAGACTATGTTGTTTCTGACAGTGGGGAAACAAAGGAATTTGGGTAAGAGCTCTCTAGTTGCTAAAGTAATAAACATGAGCCCAACATGATGGTTCTTGTGGGCATCTTGAATGTGCTAATTGAAAGTTAATATAACAAGTCTGTTATTCTAAACCAGGTTTTCTGTGTGTATAGTTGTTGATGGCTCTGTTATTTTGTCATTATTACAGGGATGAAAGTAAGCTTCAAGATAAAATCTTCATCACCCAGCAAATTCCAATATCAGACTCTTCTGGTAAAGTGGTGCTACCCACTATTCCAAAAGGACCTCAAGAGTCTGACACAGTAAGGAGTCTCTCTTATCAAACAATACATATTGTTGTCACCCTTCCCCATGTTGCTTCTTGCTAAATCAGTTATTTTCTCTACTAGTTAAGAGACTTCAGGGATCAGTGGAATGAGTAATAAATAGCATTAGCAGATTACATAAATTTTTAAATCAATATCCATACAAATGCATACTATACTAATGCAAATGCAAATGTGTGCCTCTTTTTGTGTGGAAACCTATAGGTTGCCTTTTGAAGTAAGCAGCCTAGCCACAATGTGTACTATCTTTTATGTAAGAGTAAACATAGTGACCTTGTGACTCTTGGCTTTCCATCACAGGTGGGAAGTCAGAGTCATTACAACCTAGAGGACAAAGGCTTATAAGGAAATATGAAATGATTTTTTTAAGCCAAGTTTTTCTCTTTAAGAGTTTTTTATTTATAATTTGTTATTCATAATCAATTAGTACAATGTAGAATCTGAGAAATTTCAAATGAAGCCACATTAGAGTAAAAAAAAAAAAAAAAAGAAAATACTGACTTTTTAGCTGCGATCACATGAATATAACTGATGAGTTTTTTTCATCTAAGAAATAAGAAACTCTGAACAGCACAATTCTGATTAGTGTGTTTTTTAGAAGTGATTTCCCTTAAATATAAGGAAAATGTTAGGAGTCTCTGTGACTACATTTAATTCCACTTGGAATATAGACAATAATGACCTTTTATTTAACCCAGCCTATAGTTGTTGGATTGGATTAAATATCACTACCAGGGCCGGGAGTAGTGGCTCACACCTATAATCTCAGCCCTTTGGGAGGCCGAGGCGGGCGGATCATGAGGCCAGGAGATTGAGAACCCAGGAGGCGGAGGTTGCAGTGAGCTGAGATCATCCCACTCCACTCCATCCTGGGCAACAGAGTGAGACTCCATCTCAAAACAAAACAAAACAAAACAACAACAACAAAAAATCACTACCAGTTGCCAGCTGTGATAAGAGCTAAAACAACGGGCACTGTAGTCTCAAATTATAAATTTCTATTGCCTCATCTTTAGGAAAGCACAAAAAAAAAAAAAAAAAAAAAAAAAAAAGGCCCAATAGGGTCATAAGTGTATTTTACAAAAGTTCCAGTCACCTTAAGTGATTGAAGGTTTTGACATTCTATCCAGCCAGGTGGTAGTAATAAGCCTCAGATCCACAGGGTACACAACATTTTCAAGGTATTTTTTTTTTTAATCATCCTTAATTCATGAATAACCCCCATAGTGTAGGTTAGTTAGCACTATCAAAGTGACTAGTAAGGACGCAGGAAAATAAAGAGAGGATTCAATTGGGATGGTACTGCAAAAAGAATCCATTCTGTTCGGCACATGAATTTCTGTTCTGATCTTAAGCTTAGATATATCAAAGAAACAAAAAGCATAAAGGCAGCTGGGGGTGGTGGCACACACCTGTAATCCCAGCACTTTGGGAGGCCAAGGCAGGCGGATCACCTGAGGTCGGGAGTTCAAGACCAGCCTGACCAACATGGAGAAACCCCGTCTCTACTAAAAATACAAAAACATTAGCCAGGTGTGGTGGCGTATGCCTGAAATCCCAGCTACTCGGGAGGCTGAGGCAGGAGAATTGCTTGAACCCGGGAGGCGGAGGTTGCAGTGAGCCGAGATCACGCCATTGCACTCCAGCCTGGGCAATAAGAGCGAAACGCCGTCTCCAAAAAAAAAAGCATAAAGGCAGTTGAACTAATGGCAGAAGACTGTCAAAGCATTTTTTTTTTAACCACTTTATGTCATGAAAAGCTTCGAAATTTCTTAGGCCCAGTCAATTGCTCTATATGAAGAATTCTTTATTAAAAAAATCACTAATTAGAAATACAGGCAAGAGAAAAGAATATATAAAATTTGGCAAGTAATAGCAGGTTAGATTTGCTTAAGGCAGGTGTCTTACCCATTTTCATGGTTGGAACACTCCTTGATTTCTGGACCTAAAATAACTTTTGAAATAATTTTCTAAAGAAAATTATTTGCATCTGGCCAGGCACGGTGGCTCATGCCTGTAATCCCAGCACTTTGGGAAGCCGAGGCAGGTGGATCATCTGAGGTCAGGAGTTCGAGACCAGCCTGACCAACATGGAGAAACTTCGTCTCTACTAAAAATACAAAATTAGCTGGGCGTGGTGGCACATGCCTGTAATCCCAGCTACTAGCGGGGCTGAGGCAGGAGAATCGCTTGATCCTGGGAGGCGGAGGTTGCGGTGACCCGAGATTGCACCATTGCACTCCAGCCTGGGCAACAAGAGTGAAACTCCATCTCAAAAAAAAGAAAAAAGAAAATTATTTGCATCTGAATTAATGGCTGAATCATTAATTAATGATTGCTGAAGAGAACCCTGAAAGTTAGTACTTGGCACATATAACAAAAAGTTGATTTGATTTATCCATTGCTTACTGAGGTATCCTTGAGAAGTGATCTTAAGAAGCAGGAACAGTGACAATGAAAGAACTAATAGTGGTCATGAAATACTAGGAAACAAAGTGGCATTGAGCAGAAAAGAAAGAAGCTGTTGCCACAACTTTGGGATATATAAAAATGGATTATATCTTGTGTATTGTGGGATAAAAGAGGGGCTAAAGAAAGCTTTGCAGGAGGTCTCTCCCAGTGGCATTTAGGTAGTGCTATGTTTGAGGATCAACCAAAAACAGTGAGTTATTTCTGTCCTGTTTCCCCATCTAAGAGTTCTTGCAATTATTGGAACATTTTCTTTAAAAAAAATACTTTTCCCTTTTCTTTTTTTACTTTTTCAATTTTTTAAAATAGAGACAGGGTTTCGCCATGTTGCCCAGGCTGGTCTTCAACTCCTGGGCTCAAGCAGTCTGCCCACCATGGCCTCCCAAAATGATGGAATTACAGGCATGAGCCACTGCGCCTGGCCGGAACATTTTCTTTACGTACACTGGCGTTTCTCCCCTTCAAATCATCAGAAAAGGGGATAATTTTTAGAAATCAGGTTTAAGCACTAATTTCAGATAAGCATTTCATAGTTACAACAGTTACCTCAAAAATGTACGAAGAGCAAGTGAAAAATCTGGTTTCATTGTTACACTAGGCAGCTCCCTATAGAAACTTTGCTGGGGTTAATAGTCCTGAGGAAGATTTCAGTTACAGTGTAGTCCAGTCCCATAGATCTGATCTGAGCAAAGCTGACAAATGAAGCTGCTCAAAAATAAAGGGAAATTACTCAGGATGGACTGAGTCTTAAACAAACTTGTGTCTAACGGCCCATGGTAGGCATGGCAACAGCAGGTGAGGAAAGAGTAGCATCCTCTTCTTTCCACTGAGAAGTAATGGTCTTTAACTGAGTGTAGAATTGGATGCCCTATAGAAAACAGAAAAAAAGTTAGCATATATTTCTGGGGTTTCATGATTCTTCTTTTAATTAGCTTTTGAAGGAGGTATTATAAAGTGCTACTCACTTTCCTAACTGAGAAATGCAATCAGAATCCAATATATATTGTTCATAAGATAATTGATCTAAAACATTTAACATAATACCTGGCAGATAGTAAACAATCAAACCTTAGCCATCATTATTACGCTGAAACTAGTATTTCTTTCTTTTTTGTTTGAGATGGAGTCTTGCTCTCTCACTTAGGCTGAAGTGAAGTGGCATGATCTCAGCTCACTGCAACCTCTGCCTCCCGGGTTCAAGCAACTCTCCTGCCTCAGCCTCTCAAGTAGCTGGGATTACAGGCACCTGCTACCATGCCTGGCTAATTTTTGTATTTTTAGTGGATATGGGGTTTCACCATGTTGGCCAGGCTGGTCTCGAATTCCTGGCCTCAAGTGATCCGCCTTCCTCGGCCTCTCAAAGTGCTGGAATTACAACTGTGAGCCACCGTGCCCCCAGCCATTACATAGTAGGCTATTTATTTATTTACTTATTTATTTATTTAGAGAAGGAGTCTCTCTCTGTTGCCCAGGCTGGAGTGCAGTGGTGTGATCTTGGCTCACTGCAACCTCTGCCTCCCAGGTTCATGTGATTCTCCTGCCTCAGCCTTCTGAGTAGCTGGGATTACAGGCATGCGCCACCACACCCAGCTAGTTTTGTATTTTTAGTAGAGACGGGGTTTCACCATGTTGGCCAGGCTGGTCATCTGACTTCAGGTGATCCTCCAGTCTTGGCCTCCCAAAGTGCTGGGATTACAGGCATGAGCCACTGTGCCTAGTCGGCCATTTCTGATAATTATCAGAGATCATGAGCTCTATATTGAAGTGGCAAACCCAAAGTATCTTATAAATCTAAAGTAAAATATCTGACATTATACAAATTCACTTCTAAAATTACCTATAACATGTGAGCCCAAAAATTCAGCATATTTAACTCTCTCTATATATAGATAGATATAGATTATTTTATTTTATTTTTTATTATTTTTTTTGAGATGGAGTCCCACTCTGTCGCCCAGGCTGGAGTGCAGTGGTGTGATCTCAGCTCACTGCAAGCTCTGCCTCCTGAGTTCATGCCATTCTTCTGCCTCAGCCTCCCAAGTGGCTGGGACTACAGGTGCCTGCCACCACTCCTGGCTAATCTGTTGTATTTTAGTAGAGATGTTAGCCAGGATGGTCTCGATCTTCTGACCTTGTGATCCACCCGCCTCGGCCTCCCAAAGTGCTGGGATTACAGGCGTGAGCCACTGCACCTGGCTAGATATAGTTTATTTTATAAGAGTAGGCTTGAGCAAAAGAGAATAATACATTGTGCAGATTTAACACTTACATAATTACTAGCAAGCTAGAATGATATTTTACCAGATTACCAGAGTAATTTATAATAATTAAATTGGGGGGTGCAGCCAGGCGTGGTGGCTCACACTTGTAATATCAGCACTTTGGGAGGCTGAGGCAGGCAGATCACTTGAGGCCATGAGCTCGAGACCAGCCTGGCCCAACGTGGCGAAACTCCGTCTCTATTTAAAAAAAAAAAAAAAAAAAAATTAGCTGGGTGTGGTGGCCGGTGCCTGTAATCCCAGCTACTTGGGAGCTTGAGGCAGAATTGCTTGAACCTGGGAGGTGGAGGTTGCAAGTGAGCTGAGATTGCACCACTGCACTCCAGCCTGGACAACAGAGCAAGACTCCCATCTCAAAAAAATAAATAAATGAGAGGGTGGGCAGGCAACAATTTTTAAACAATAGTTGTACTCTGCTTTGCTTAAAAGAAATGTTACTAGTATCAAATTAGTCATTTTTACAAAAGCTGTGACTAAGCCAGGTTCAGTGACTCACTCCTGTAATCCCAGCACTTTGGGAGGCCAAGGCAGGCAGATCACCTGAGGTAAGGAGGTCAAGACCAGCCTGGCCAACATGGCAAAACCCCGTCTCTGCTACAAATACAAAAATTGGCGGGCGTGGTGGTGCGTGCCTGTAATCTCAGCTACTCAGGAGGCATAGACAGGAGAATTGCTTGAACCCTGGAGACTGAGGTTGCAGTGAGCCGAGATCATACCACTGTACTCCAGCCTGGGCGACAGAGCAAGACTCTGTCTCACAAAGAAAGGAAAACAAAACAAAAAACCAAAAGCTGTGACTAATATACAAATTAGATAATCAACCTCCAAATACCAAAGTGTTGACTTCTTAACCATTTGGCCACACTGTCATAATGCTATGCAATCCCATTGTTAACTTTTTAATAACCCAAACATAAATAAATAAAATAAAAAAGCCCCACATGCCCTGCCGTCTGGCAGCACACAGCTGGCACAGAAAAAAAAATTAACCTATAAAAGGGAAAACTTGTATAGCAAAACATGTAATTTATTAATGAAGGTTTCAAAATGGCTCTAGTCCTATGGGATTACAAAGAACTTCCCCTAGCCTATTTGTTCAACAAATGTTTAGGTAGCCTGCTCTGTGCCAGGTACTGCAGATAAGTAAAAAACAACTATAGTGTGATGAGGGATTCTCTACGTGGCAAGCCCTATATGACTCAACCCCTGCCTGCCTCTCTAACCTCATTTTTTCCTTTTCTTCTCATTTGCTCACTGTGCCCCAGCCCATTTCTGCTGTTTGAATGTGCCACGCTTCTTCCTGCCTTAGGACATATGTACCTGTTGGCCGATGTGGCAATAGTAATAATTCTTTTTTTTTTTTTTCTGAGATGGAGTCTTGCTCTTTTGCCCAGGCTGGAGTCCAGTGGTGCAATCTTGGCTCACTGAAACTTCCGCCTGCTGGGTTCAAAGCATTCTCCTGCCTCAGCCTCCAGAGTAGCTGGGATTACAGGCGCCCGCCACCACGTCCAGCTAATTGTTTTATTTTTAGTAGAGAGGGGGTTTTGCCATGTTGGCCAGGCTGGTCTCGAACTGCTGACCTCAGGAGATCTGCCTGCCTCAGCCTCCCGAGGTGCTGGGATTACAGGCGTGAGCCACCATGCCTGGCCAATAGTGATAATTCAATACTTACAACATTATGAAATATATAGGTACTGTTGTTATTCTTTTTATACGTGAATAAATTTAAGGCATAAAGCAGGTATCCAGGTGCGGTGGCTCACACCTGCAATCCTAGCACTTTAGGAGGCTGGGGCGGGTGGATTACCTGAGGTCAGGAATTCGAGAGCAGCCTGGCCAAAATGGTGAAACACTATCTCCACTAAAAATACAAAAATTAGCCGGGTGTGGTGGTGGGCACCTGTAATCCCAGCTACTTGGAGGCTAAGGCAGGAGAATTGCCTGAACCTGGGAGATGGAGGTTGCAGTGAGCCGAGATCGTGCCACCACACTCCATCCTGGGTGACGGAGTGAGACTCTGTCTCAAAAACAAAAAAAATAATTAAAGGTATCCCCCAAAGTCAGACAGCTAATAACTGGCTTAGCTGGGATTTGAACACAGGCAATTTGGTTCCAGATCTGCTTTACTTTTCTTGTTCAGTGCTGTATTCATAGTGCCTAAAATAATGCCTGCTACAGGCCGGGCACAGTGGCTCACACCTGTAATCCCAGTGCTTTGGGAGGCTGAGGCGGGCGGATCACGAGGTCAGGAGTTTGAGACCAGCCTGGCCAACATGGTGAAACCCTGTCTCTACTGAAAAACAAAAAATTACCCGGGCATGGTGTCAGGCGCCTATAGTCCCAGCTATTCAGGAGCCTGAGGCAGGAGAATTGCTTGAACCCAGGAAGCGGAGGTTGCAGTGAGCTGAGACCATGCCACAGCACTCCAGCCTGGGCAACAGAGCAAGACTGCGTCTCAAAAAAATAATAATAAATAATAATAATAATGTCTGCTACAAAGAAGGTGCTCAATAACATTTTTTGTAAATGAATAACTATTACAGAAAAACTATGTGCAATGGGAACACACTGGGGATCACACCACCCAGCACTGAGGGAGGGGTGGTGGCAGTTGGAGGTTTTCTGGAGGAGCTCATTCTTTAAATTGAGACATGGCAGATGATTAGGAGTTAGTCAGATGAAAGGGGAGAGATGGCGAAGAGGGTCACATGCTCAGGAAGTGGCATATACAAAGGCTTGGACTTCCCCATGTTCTTTCCTCAAAACTTTGTTGCTTTGAATTATTCAGGAAGAAGCAGCTTGGCAAAATTTTGTTAACTTTTAAATCTTTTTTAGGGAACCTTCTGAGAAGCACTGATTATGACCCCACAGAAGCTGCTGGCAGGCCCTTCCTTGCAGAATCCTTGCTCCTGAATATCTTTTAGAAAATTTCTTAAGGGAAAAGACAAAAATTTTAACTCAAAAGTTACCTGTTTGCCATAGAAATTGGTGTCTCCCCTGAAGGAGGATCGAGAGCCGGTGAATGAGAACATTGGCAAAGGCACTGGAATGGGGACATTCACTCCCACCTAAAACAGAACAAATCCGTGTCATACCCTAAGGACAAAGGAACTCTCCATTTAGAAGCACAACAGCATCAGAGACCAGTTTTAAATACCCACCTTCCACCCTGTCCTTTACCCCATGAACTTTCATTCCTGAGGAAGAAATGGGGCAATGTGGGAGGTCATGGGGGCAATCTTAAACCAATGACTCACCATTTACTGTTTCCTCTTAGGAAATAGTAAATGGATATAAGAATCTCTTAAAAATTCTGTTCACAAACCTGTCCGACATCCACCAAGTGGGCATATTTCCGAGCAGTAGCTCCATTGGTGGTGAAGATGGCAGTTCCATTTCCATATGGGTTGTTATTTACAATCTGGATGGCTTCATCCAATGTTTCTGTCTCCAGAACCACAAGAACTGGACCAAAAATCTCCTCTTTGTAACAGGTCATATTTGGCTGCCAGGAGTGATGCATCCAGAAAAGAAGTCAGCTTTTTGGATTCTGAGTATTTTACGCTTATTTGATACCTTCATTTACTACACATCATTTACATGGACAACTTTCATATTAGTAATCTCTTTTCATTTCAAATCACTTATTTTAAAAAAAGTCCTCTCTTAACTGTGTTCCATCTTCCAAGTTACCAATCATATAAACAACTTGGAATTCCTATCAACAATAACCACACTTCTTTTAAGGGACTGTATTTTTAGTTCATGACCCATCATTAGCTTCCTTTTTAATACCTGAACAACTTGTTTCATCCAATTGTCATCAAAAAGTTACATGAAAATTTATTTTTTATAAATCCAATCTATATTAAATATACCAGGATAATTTTTCTCTTTATAGAAACCCAATGCTGTTTTCTATAACATAAACAATCCATTCTTATTCACTCCTTTGCCTCCCAAAAAAGTCTGTATGTTTATATTTTGATATCAGGTCATAGACACTCAAAACATCCTTCACCATGCAATTAATGTTTGTTGCTGGTAAACGGATTTTTCTGTATGGTTCTGTGGCAAGAGATTTCATAATTTCTACTGCACTTACATTCAACACTTGATGATTCACTATTATACTAGGGCTATATGAATTTCAAAAAACGCCTCATTACCTCAATTTTTAACTCATGTTAGCTGAGAGACTTTCAAAGTTTTGATAAATAAAAATTGACAAGTCAATTATTTCTGTCACTTTCAATAAATATCGGGTGGTTGATATATTGATTGAGACACTGCAGTAGCCATAAGCTAGGCAGCAAGAGGGACACAGGAGAGAAAACATTAACAAACCAGTATAAGATAAGATAGTGTTTGGCAAACTATAGCCTGTGGGCCAAATGTGGCTTCCTGCCTGTTTTTGTACAGCCCCCAAGTTAAAAATGGTTTCTGCATTTTTAAATGGTTGAAAAAAATATTTAATCATATATTAAATGATATGAAATTCAAAATATCAGTGTCCATAAATAAAGTTTTATTGGAACACAGCCACCCAATGTTTATGGCTGATCTCACACTACAACATCAGAGTTTAGTTGCAACAGACACTATATCCCTGTAAAACTGAAAATATCCCTTTATGGAAAGTTTGCAGACTGCTGGTATAGTGGAAAGAGTTTGGTTGGGAGTTAGAAGGGGAGGCCCATTCAGACTCCAGATAAAATAACTGATCAATCCTGGCAAGAGATGAAGTCTTAGTCATTAAGTATTTTGATTAATAAATTAGAGGGATGAGATTCTATAGCCTTTAAGGTACCTTCAGCTCTCATATTTCTGAAATAAAAGTTGTTCACCTTGACATTCGAGATGATGGTTGGTCCAACAAAGTTACCATTTTCATAGCCTTTCACTTTAATTTTTCGTCCATCAAGAAGGATGGAAGCTCCCTCCTTTGTTCCACTATCAATCAGATTACAGACTCGCTCTTTGGCCTGGGGAGTGATCAGAGGGCCAAGATCAGCTCCAGGCTGATCTCCTGTAAAACAACACAGAAGAATTTAAAGTCCTCATTAACATAAATTATGACTGCTGTCAGGGCTCATGCCTGTAATCCCAAAGCTTTAGGAGGTCAAGGCAGGAGGACTGCTTGAGCCCAAGAGTTCCAGACCAGCTTGGGCAACAAAGTGAGACTTCGTCTCTACAAAAAATAAAAAAATTAGCCAGGTGGTGGTGCACACCTGTGGTCCAAGCTGCTCAGGAGGCTGAGGCAGGAGGATCACTCGAGCCCAAGAGTTTGAGGCTGCCACGAGCTAGGATGGCACCACTGCACTCCAGTTTGGGTGGCAGAGAGCCTCTGCCTTTAAAAAAAAAAAAAAAAACCCACTGCTAATGAGATGAATCCAAGTGACAAGTACAATATAAAGAGAGGAAATGGCAAGAATAGACGTGATTGTTCCCACTGGCCAAGGCCACTGACAGAACTCAAGAGCTTAGTGCCACAGATGCAAAATCTAAGGGAGCAAGGCAGGTGATTGATTACCTGCATTGACTCTCAGGTTTTTGGCACGCTCCACCAGCTCTGGCAGCCACTTCTTGGCTTCTCCCACAAGGACTGCTGTTGAAAGAGCCATGCAGCGCTGACCAGCAGCTCCAAATGCTGCCCCAACCAGCTGGTTCAGGGTATTTTCCTTATTGGCATCTGGCATGACTACCCCATGGTTCTTGGCTCCCTAAAAAAAAAAAATACAGAAAAGCACAGGAATCTTCCTTGGCCAAATACAATTAAGCTAAGAAATTAAGCAGTGGACCAGGTATGGTGGCTAACGCCTGTAATCCCAGCACTTTGGGAGGCTGAGGTGGGAAGGATCACTTGAGGTCAGGTGTTCAAGACCAGCTTAGGCAACATGGTGAAACACGATCTCTACAAAAAATTAGCCAGGAATGATGGCACAAGCCTGTGGTCCCAGTTACTTAGGAAGCTGAGGTAGGGGGACCCCTTAATTCTGGGAGGCAGAGGTTGCAGTGAGCCAAGATCACACCATTGTACTCCAGAGTGGGTAACAGAGTGAGACCCCTGTCTCAAAAAAAAAAAAACAAAAACAAAAAACAAAAAACAAAAAAACAACAAAAGGAAAGAATTTGTTGTCTGCTGGGTTTTTCAGTTATAAGAAGAGCAATGTTAAAAAAATAAAGAGAGAGAACTTACAGCCTTACAGCAATAATGCCAGTAACCAGCTGAAAGGCAAAACAGAAAGTAGACCTCTTGATATAGAATTTCAAGAAAGAGCCAGGCATAGTGGCTTATGCCTGTAATCCCAGCACTTTGGGAGGCCAAGGTGGGCGGATCACTTGAGGTCAGGAGTTCGAGACCAGCTTGGCCAACATGGTGAAACCCCATCTCTACTAAAAATACAAAAATTAGCCGGGTGTGGTGGTAGGCACCTGTAATCCCAGCTACTTGGGAGGCTGAGGCACGAGAATTGTTTGAACCTGGGAGGTGGAGGTTGCAGTGAGCTGTGATGGCACCACCGCACCCTAGCCTGGGTGACAAAGTAAGACTCTGTCTCAAAAAAAAGTGATTAACGTGACTTAGAATGAAACTCCTCTAAAGGTTCATGATTAAAGAGAAGACATTCAGAAGGACATGGTAAGGCTTATGTCTGTAATCCCAGCACTTTGGGAGGCCGAGGCAGGCAGATCACAAGGTCAGGAGATCGAAACCATCCTGGCCAACATGGTGAAACCCCATCTCTACTGAAAAAAAATAGAAAAATTAGCCAGGCGCAGTGGCGCACGCCTGTAGTCCTAGCTACTCAAGAGGCTGAGGCAGGAGAATCACTTGAACCTGGGAGGCAGAGGTTGCAGTGAGCCAAGATCATGCCACTGCACTCCAGCCTGGCGACAGAGAGACTCTGTCTCAAAAAAATAAAAGAAACACTGACATTGGAGTGGGATGAGTGGCCTCTCTGCTGAAGGTCTGTTCCTAGGTAATTTTCATATATAGAATAAAGATTGGAGAAAAAAGGAATAAGAAGTCACCATATTGGCTTGAACCCTCTTGCCATGTCTTGATCCTCTCTCGAAGATATACTCTCCTGCCTGGTTGGATCCCACAAAGCTGATTGCTTTGATGTCCGGATGATCGCAAATAAAATTTACAGCTTTAAGAAGAAAATAAATGATCACTCACAAAGGAGCAAATGGATTCTCAACACGGAAAATTTCCCCTTTCCCCACTGTTATGAATTTGAAGTTTTCCTGTGTTTTTCTTTTCTTCTTTTTTTTTTTTTTTTGAGACGGAGTCTTGCTCTGTTGTCCAGGTTGGAATGCAGTGGTGCGATCTTGGCTCACTGCAACTGACGCCTCCCAGGTTCAAGCAATTCTCCGTCTCAGCCTCCCAAGCAGCTGGGATTATAGGCACCCGACACCACGCCTGGCTAATTTTTGTATTTTTAGTAGACACGGGGTTTTACCATCTTGGCCAGGCTTGTCTTGAACTCCTGACGTTATGATCCACTCGCCTTGGCCTCCCAAAATGCTGGGATTACAGGTGTGAGCCACTGCGCCAGGCCTGTGTTTGTTTTTCTATACTGGATTCTCATTGTAAAGTTCTCTCCTTGTATCTTTTAAATTCTATTTAGCCGGCTGGACACCATGGCTCATGCCTGTAATTCCAGCACTTTGGGAGGCTGAGGCAGGTGGATCACCTGAGGTCAAGAGTTCGAGACCATCCTAGCCAATATGGTGAAACCCTGTCTCTACTAAAAATACAAAAAAATTAGCCAGGCGTGGTGGTGGGCGCTTGTAATCCCAGCTACTTGGAAGTCTCAGGCAGGAGAATTGCTTGAACCTAGGAGGCAGAGGTTGCAGTGAGCCAAGATCATGCCATTGCACTCCAGCCTGGGCAACAAGAGCAGAAGTCCATCTCAAAAAAATAAAAAATAAATAATAAAAAATAAATTCTATTTAGCCTCTTTCCTTTCATGATTTTTCTCATGTGTTACTCCAGAATTTCCACTTCTAATCTAACTTTTATTTTATTTTATTTATTTTTTTTTTGAGACAGGGTCTCACTGTTTCACCTAGGCTGGAGTGCAGTGGTGCCATCTTGGCTCACTGCAACCTCTGTCTGCCAGGCTTAAGCCGTCTTCCCACCTCATGGGACTACCTGCACATGCCACCATTCCTGGCTAAGTTTTGTATTTTTTTGTAGAGACAGGGGTTTTGCCACATAGCCCAAGCTGGTCTCGAACTCCTGGGCTCAAGTGATCCACCTGCCTTCACCTCCCAAAGTGCTGGGATCACAGGTGTGTGCCATTGCACCCAGCCTTAATCTAACTTTGAAGGCTGCAACTCCTATTTTCCTAGAAAATAACAGCCTTTGAATACTGAACTCTTCTTTTTTGTCCTTCAAGAATAACAATAGGCAGTGCACGGTGGCTCACGCCTGTAATCCCAGCACTTTGGGAGGCTGAGGCGGGTGGATCACCTGAGGTCAGGAGTTTGAGACCAGCCTGGCCAACATGGTGAAACCCCGTCTGTACTAAATAGTTTTACCAAAAGTAGTGGGGCACGGTGGCACATGCCTATAATCCCAGCTACTCAGGAGGCTGAGGCAGGAGAATTGATTGAACCTGGGAGGCGGAGGGTAGAGTGAGCTGAGATTGCACCACTGCACTTCAGCCTGGGCAACAGAGGGAGACTCCATCTCAAAAAAAAAGAATAACAATATTTCCTCAATGGTGACTATGTACTGGGACACTCAGACACTATTGTGTTCTCATGTGAGAGGTAATATAGCATAGTTTTTAAAAGCAAAAATCAGAGTCAGCCTTCCTGGATGGGTATACACATCCTGGCTTTGACGGTTTCTAGCACTGTGACTTTGGGCTAATTGATTTCACTATGTCTCATTTTTCTCTTCTGCAAAATGGAAAAAATAATACCTATCTCAAAGGGTGATTATAAAGATTAATAGATAAAAAGCACTAGGAACAGTGCCTGACACACAGACGCATTATTTAAGTATTAGCTATTATTACAAGAATTGGAAGGCCTTCAGTATCTCTGAGATCTGCAAATTCTCTGAGTTAAATATCCTCATGTATTCTCTTCATATTGAAGAAAAAAGTTTCTTTTTTAATCTTATCTGTGTCTAGCCCTAATCCAGATTTCTAGTGTCCCAATATATACTGTAGGGCAAGAAGCACTGCTATTCCCTAGTTGGTTACCTTGGCGCACAAAGATGGCAAAATCATCAACAAACATGGAGGTTAAAATGAGTAAATACTTTCCTCTTTACAAGTAGGTTCCTTATCCTAAAACATCCAATCATCACTAAACACCTTGATTTTTTGGTAGCCAGATTAAGTAGCCATATGCAGAAGGGCCGTTACCTTCATGTTGTCCATGGATGATGTTTAATGTTCCATCAGGGGCACCAGAATCCTGGAGCAACTTAGCAAGAAGCATAGTTGCTCCAGGGACTCGCTCGGATGGTTTCATTAGGAAGGTATTTCCACACACCATGGCCATGGGAAACATCCAAAGGGGGATCATGGCGGGAAAATTGAATGGAGCAATGCCTGCACACACTCCCAGAGGCAGACGGTAGGAATAAAGGTCCATGTCTTTGGTGATGGATGGCATGGTCTCTCCCATCATGAGGGATGTCACACTACAGGCATGCTCAACCACCTCTGGAACACAGAAGTCAGGCCATCAGCTCTCCACACTGTGTACTAGTTAGCTTTGTCCTGTTCTCTTCAGCCCTGAGGACAGGAAGTGGCTCAGGCCAATGAACGGGCGCAGGGTACACTGACTTGCCCTTCCAAGTTAAGGGTTTGTGCAAAATGAGATTCTCTGAATGGGAAAAATACAGCGATATGTATATACCCACTGGAGGATCATTTGAGTAAAGAGTAAAGTAAATCAGTCTTAGGGATACTGAATACTGCCATTTTTCACAAGCATTAAAAAAGACATAATGGGATGGCAAAATCTATATAAAGGAAGAAGCAACCTCCCATTCTGAGATCTGTGCCTCCCACCTTCCTTTGCTCCTTCCCAAAAGTCCCATAAGGGGCTCCCAGCTTACGAAGGCCTCGAAATACATCTCCTTCAGCATCAGCTAGGGTCTTCCCTTGTTCCAATGTGATTAACTTGGCAATTTCTTTCTAGAGAGAAAACACACAGATAGAAATTAATGCAAGAATGTTCCTCTTTTAAATTCTCAGGTAGCCAAGGAAGAATAAGACTGGAGGAGATGTAGTACAAGGGAGAGAGCCATGATCAATGTCTCTGCATACTGCAGAGTAAGGGAGGGTAGCTGAAAAGGTCTCTGTGAGAGTGACAAACATGCCCTAGGTGACAGTTTGGAAAAGCATACCATTCAGATTTCATACCAAGTTTTCTTTAATAAGTTGTTGATAGCGGAGCAAGACCTGCTGGCGGCTTAATACTGAAGTGTCTGCCCATGCAGGAAAAGCACGTTTGCAGGAAGCAATGGCTGCATCCATTTCTGCCTTGGTGGCCTGAGGGACCCGACCAATGACCTCATTGGTGGCCTGATGAGAAAAATAAGCACATGATCCTTTGCCCCTGACTCACCTTCTCCACTGTACATCTAGTCACAGAAGCAGCACTATGTGCTTTACAATAGACACCCAGGTCCCTACTTGCCCATCATGTCCCTAGAATTCTAGGCTCCTAAGTTGAAGTCCCAAAGCAGCTTCGCTTACTGGGTTGTGGATCTCGATCCATTTGTCACTTTTGGATTCAACAAATTTCCCATCAATGAAGAGCTTTACAGCTGGCTGAAAACAAACAAACAAACAAACAAACAAACAAAAAACCATGAAATTTTGTATTAGTTAATTGCTTTGCTTTTCTCTTTCCCTTGCACCAAAAGGAAAGAAAACAAGTTGATAATGGAATCTTCTCGTCTTTAGAAATGTTACCACTAGGAAAGAGACACATAATATCCTTATCTATTTTGCGTGTGTATGTGTTTATTTTATTTTATTTTTTTTGAGACAAAGTTTCCCTCTTGTCCCCCAGTCTGGGGTGCAGTGGTGTGATCTCGGCTCACTGCAACCTCCGATTCCTGATTCCCGGGTTCAAGCAATTCTCTTGCCTTAGCTTCTCGAGTAATGAGATTACAGGTGCCCGCCACAACACCCAGCTACTTTTGTATTTTTGGTAGAGATGGGGTTTCACCATGTTGGCCAGACTGATCTTGAACTTCTGGCCTCAGGTGATCCACCCACCTCGGCCTCCCAAAGTGCTAGGATTACAGGCATAAGTCTCTGCATCTGGCCCTTATTATTATTATTATTTTTTTTTCTTGAGACATGGTCTCACTCTGTCGCTCAGGCTGGAGTATAGCGGCGTGATCATGACTCACTGCAGCCTCAACTCCCAGGGCTTAGGTGATTCTCCCACCTCAACCTCCTGAGCAGCTGGGACTACAGGCACATGCTACCATGCCCAGCTAATTTTTTGGTACTTTTGATAGAGACGAGGCTTGGCCATGTTGCCTGGCTGGTCTCGAACTCCTGGGCTCAAGTGAGCCACCCGCGTCAGACTCTCAAAGTGCTGGGATTACAGGCGTGAGTCACTGTGCCCAGTCTATAGTTTATATTAAGATGTGGCAGAGCCTCTCAATACTGTGATCTCTCTGAGAATGGGAAATTCCCTGCTAGTCACACAGTGGAACTTCATGAGTGGAAACACGACATTGTGAAGTTTATACTAAAAAAGCAGCAACTCTGTTAACAAAGATTAGCTATTATGAGTTTTTGGCCCAGCTGACTGTTAATTACTGTGAGCATGCACTACCTTTATGATCAAAAGATTTTTGGCCGGGCCCAGTGGCTCACGCCTGTAATCCCAGCACTTTGGGAGGCCAAGGCAGGTGGATCACCTGAGGTCAGGAGTTCGAGACCAGCCTGGCCAACATGGTGAAACCTCATCTGTACTAAAATATAAAAATTAACTGGGTTTGGTGGCATGCACCTGTAATCCTAGCTACTCGGGAGGTTGAGGCAGGAGAATCGCTTGAACCTGGGAGGCAGAGGTTGCAGTGACCCGAGATCGTGCCACTGCATTCCAGCCTGGGCGACAGAGTGAGACTCCATCTCAAAAAAAAAAAAAAAAAAAAAAGATTAAAAAAATGTTTCTATGTATTTTTTTCTGAGATATAGCTCACTGTCACTAATTTTTTTTTTTTTTTTAACATGGAATCTCACTTTGTCACCCAGGTTGGAGTGCAGTGGCACAATCTTGACTTACTGTAACCTCCGCCTCCCAGGCTCAAGCAGTCCCCCTACCTCACCCTCCCAAGGAGCTGGGACCATAGGTATGCACTACCATGCCTGGCTAATTTTTTGTGGAGATGGAGTTTCACCATGTCTCCCAGGCTGGTCTCAAACTTCTGAGCTCTGGCAATCCACCTGCCTCAGCTTCCCAAAGTGCTGGCATTACAGGCGTGAACCACCGCGCCTGGCCTCTTTCACTAATTTTTTTTTTTTTTAATTTGAGATGGAGTCTCGCTCTGTCGTCAGGCTAGAGTGCAATGGTGAGATCTTGGCTCACTGTAACCTCTGCCTCCCGAATTCAAGTGATTCTCCTGCCTCAGCCCGTGAAGTAGCTGGGACTACAGGTGCGTGCCACCACGCCCAGTTAAGTTTTGTATTTTTAGTAGAGACGGGGTTTCCCCATGTGGGCCAGCATGGTCTCGATCTCTTGACCTCGTGATCCACCCACCTCAGCCTCCCAAAGTGCTGGGACACTAAATTTTTAAAGCGGTCTGTGAACCAAAAAATGGTGATCTACTGTGGTACAGTGTGTGCATACTTCTGTGTGGAAAGAATTTGAGCAATAGTCCTTATTTATTAGATTTTAGGTGCTGGAAGTGGTTGACAGACAGTTGATCTGTAAAAACCACTCTAAAGGTTGTCAAGAAGAAGACAACTATCTGGCAGGGTCAGCAGAACCTCTAGAAGCCATGAAAATGTTTGTATCTTTTGACACGGTAATCCATTTCAGGAGGGAAATAATCCAAAAGGAGGAAAAATCTATATAAATAAATGTTTGTTTTATAATATTGAAAAACTGAAGCAACCTAAATGTTATATAGGGAAACTGTTAATTCAGGCTATATCTATTTGATGGAATATTATTGCAGCCATTAAAATTATAACTATAAAGACCATCTTGCAATATTGATAATGCTTACAATATAGTAGATCTAATATTAGATAAGAAAACCAAGATAGAAAGTTTCACATACACTGTGATGACAATTATGTAAAGAAGATAGAGATACCCAAAAACTATACTGAATTCCTTCTCAGAAGTCAATCTCTATGCCATATAAACTCACCACTGAAGAAGAGAATGAAGATGCTGAATACCAGGCGGAATTGGATTTCACCTTGGAAGAAACCTGTGAGGCAAAAAAATGATTATTTTGATAAATGAGAGCAGAAAGTTATTTAAAATTTAGCAAATAGCTACTATATGCTTAATACTATACTAGCTACTGTGGGGGTATGGAAAAGGACTTGATGTTTCTCTCAAAGGCCATATAGCCGTTAAAGAGAAAAGATATGAATCTATGACACAGCAAACTATGAACGAACAATAAACCATAATAATCATGTCCTATATGTCCAGGATAGTACTGATTAAAAAAAATCTTTTTGTCATTATGTTTTCCTAATTTGGGCCTGGCAAAATGTACCATAAATCTAACAATATGAAAATACTTAGCATGGTATCTAACACAATAGGTACTGAATTTAAGATCATATAAAATCAATATGCTGGGCATGGTGACTCACGCCTGTAATCTCAGCACTTTGGGAAGCTGAGACGGGTGTATCACTTGAGTCTAGGAGTTTGAGACCAGCCTGGGCAACATGGCAAAACCTTATCTACAAAAAATACAAAAATTAGCCAGGCATGGGTGGTGCATGCCTGTGGTCCCAGCTACTAGGGAGGCTGAGGTGGGAGGACTGCTTCAGCCCAGGAGGGTGAGGCTGCAGTGAGTCATGATTGTGCCACTGCACTCCAGCCAGGGAGACAGAGGGAGACACTGTCTCAAAAAAATAAAAAATAAAAATAAATAAAAGCAATGTAAATATAAATCAAATAGTTTATTACCAAATGCAATTAAAATTATATCCTTATATGTACTTGAAAAATGAATGTTCATAAGAACTTTATTTGTAGTATCCCAAAACTTGGAAACAACCCAACGTCTACCATTGGATGGGTGAATAAGGAAATTAATGTGGTATATTCATACACTGGAATACTACTCAGCAAAAAAAGGAATGACCTACTGATACATGCAATATAAATAGTCATAATAATTATGACAAGAGACAAGTTAGATAATAAGAGTACATACTGTATGATTCTACTTCTGTAATACTAGAGAATGCAAACAAATCTGTAATATCAGAACGTAGGACAGTGGTTACCTGGGGATGAAGAGGGAAACTTTTTGGGGTGATGGACATATGTTCATTATGTTGATTGTGATGCTATTTTCACAGGTGTATACAAATGTTAAAACTTATCAAACTGCATACTTTAAATAAGTACAGATTGTTTTATGTCAATTTTATTTTAATAAAGCTGTATTGAAATGCCATAGGTACGTTATAGGAAAAAATGTGTTGGATAGATATTTGATGGGATAAAATCAGCAAATAGGGAGGGAGGATCACTTTCAACAAGATAACTCTCAAACTGTAACTCACTAAAAAAAAAGGCTGTATATATGTTATCAAAGTTGATTTTTTGAGACGGAGTCTCACTCTGTTGCCCAGGCTGGAGTGCAGTGGCATAATCTTGGCTCACTGCAATCTCTGCCTCCCGTGCTCAAGTGATTCTCCTGCCTCAGCCTGCCAAGTAGCTCGGATTATAGGTGTCTGCCACCATGCCCAGCTAATTTTCTTTCTTTCCTTTTTTTTTTTTTTTTTTTTTTGAGGCGGAGTCTGGCTCTGTCGCCCAGGCTGGAGTGCAGTGGTATAATATCAGCTCACTGCAAGCTCCGCCTCCTGGGTTCACGCCATTCTCCTGCCTCAGCCTCCCGAGTAGCTGGGACTACAGGCGCCTGCCAACACGCCTGGCTAATTTTTTGTATTTTTAGTAGAGACGAGGTTTCACCGTGTTAGCCAGGATGGTCTCGATCTCCTGACCTTGTGATCCACCTGCCTTGGCCTTCCAACGTGCTGGGATTACAGGTGTGAGCCAGCGCACCTGGCCTAATTTTCATTTATTTTTTGAGACAGAGTTTTGCTCTTGTTGACCAGGCTAGAGTACAGTGGCGTGACCTTGGCTCACTGCAACCTCCACCTCCTGGGTTCAAGTGATTCTCCTGCCTCAGCCTCCTAAGTAGCCGAGATTACAGACACCTGCTACTATGCCTGGCTAATTTTTTTTTTTTTTTTTGCATTTTTAGTAGAGATGGGGTTTCACCATGTTGGCCTGGCTGGTCTTGAACTCCTGACCTCAGGTGATCCACCCGCCTTGGCCTCCCAGAGTGCTGGGATTACAGGCATAAGCCACTGCACCCAGCCTATATATATGTTATCAAAGTTGATTTAAGAAATATTTAAGCCAATCAAAATGAGCAAACTAAAATACTCAGGACTGGGATATAAAGGAAAGCTGCAATCTAATAATCTTTTATCTTGCCTGAAAAGGGACTCTGTTAACCACAGAGTATAGGGCTGCATGAAGGGTGCCTACAGCACTGCCCAGGAAAAGATGGTGGTCCTTTGGTCCAGCAGATAGTCCTTCCAAATACCTCATCTGCTTGCTCTCCTATTCCCTACCAAAGCCATTTCAAACCACTGACACTCTCCTGGAGCCCACCATGTCTTATTTATAGCTATGTTCCCAATACCAACATAGCACCGGGTAGGTGTTCAGTAAATAACTGCTGAATAAAATAGAAGCCCACTGCTGTCTGCTTCTTACCCCAAACTAGGTTAAGAGGCCCTTTTTTATCCTCTGAAAGCAGCCAATACTTCCCCTTTCAGGCTTATCTCTCTGTGTTGTAATTGTTTGGGGTCTTACTCTGTTTTGTGTTGCTATAACAAAATACCTGAGACTAGGCAATTTATAAGGAAAAGTAGTTTGTTTAGTTCATGATTCTGCAGGCTGGGAATTTCAAGGGATGGCCCTAGCTTCTGGCGAGGGCTTCTGTCCTGTGTCATAACGTAACAGAGAAGATCAAAGGGGAAGCAGACCTGTGTGAAGAGGCAAAACTGGGGCGGGGGGCAGTATCCTGGCTTTATAGCCCACTCACACAGGAACTAATCCATTCCCATGGGAACTAATCCAGTCTCAAAAAAGCAAGAATCCACTCACTACAGCACAAAGCCATTCATGAAGGATCCACCCCCACGACCAAAACACCTCCCACTAGGTCCCAACACTACCACATTGGAGATTAAATTTCAACATGAGTTTTGGTGGAGACAGACCAACCATATCCAAGCCATAGCACCTGGGTACTTATCTGTTACCCATAAAGACTCTCAGTTTCAGGAGGGTTGACACTGCATCTGTCTTGTTCACCTACTTCACAGAGTTAAAAATTATAACTGATCAGGACTGTCCAGTTATAGAAAAGTAGCTAGCACAAAGTTGGTACTCATTAAATCTTATTGTTATGTCATTGTAAATAACGGCATGGTGATTTGTGCCTGTAGTCCCAACTACTCAGGAAGCTGAGGCAGGAGGATCTCTTGAGCCCAGTTCAAGACCAGCTTGGGGAGCATAACAAGACCCCATTTCTATAAATAATAAGTAAACACTTATTATTTGTTTTCACTCTTTGCTATTCCAAAACTTTATCTTAAAACTCCCAACTCTACTACTTCCTCTTCCACTTTCAGGAGCTGACTTTGTTTTTCTTACTTCAGAGCACATAGAAACCATCAGATGAGAACGTCTCAACTCCCTAATAGCAAACCTACAAAACTGAACTCAACCTAAGGAGAAGGTAACCAGCAAGCTCCATGCAGGAAAAGTGACTGAGACAGTGGTGCACAATCAATATATGTGGACTGGATGAAGAGGTATATGCTTTTTTTTTTTTTTTTGAGACAGGGTCTTGTCCTGTCTCCTAGGCTGGAATGCAGTGGCATGATCATAGCTCACTGCAGCCTGCAACTCCTGGGTTCAAGCCATCTTCCTGCCTCAGCCTCCCAAGTAGCTGAGACCACAAGCACGTACCACCACACCCAGCTAATTTGCTTTTATTATTTTATTATTTTGAGACAGAGTCTTGCTCTGTCACCCAGGCTGGAGTGCAGTGGTGTAATCTTGGCTCACTGCAACCTCCGCCTCCCAGGTTCAAGTGATTCTCCTGCCTCAGCCTTCCGAGTAGCTGGGATTACAGGCACGCGCCACCATACCCAGCTACTTTTTTGTATTTTTAGCAGAGATGAGGTTTCAACATGTTGGCTGGTCTTGAACTCTTGACCTCAAGTGATCTGCCTGCCTTGGCCTCCCAAAGTGCTGGGATTACAGGTGTGAGCCAACACATTTTTGAATTTTTAGCAGAGACAGTGTTTCACCATGTTGGCCAGGTTGGTCTTGAACTCCTGACTTCAAGTGATCTGACCATCTTGGTCTCCCAAAGTGCTGGGATTACAGGGGTGAGCCACCACGCCAGGCCGCCATTAACTCTTTTAAATTTCCCAAGGCTTGGTCCTAGGCCTTCTTTTCTTCTCATTCTGTATATGCTCCTTGGGTGATTTTTATCAACTCCCATGGCTTAACTATCTAGATCCTGATGATGCCCAACTCTTTAGTCCTTGGCCAGAATTTTCTTCTTCAGGTGATACCCACGTAATTATCTTTACCACATCTCTATTTGGATGTTACATAGGCACATGTTAAAAAAAGGTGGCTGGGCACAGTAGCTCACTGTAATTCCAGCACTTTCGGAGGCCGAGGCACTTTGGGAGGCTGAGGTGGGAAGATCACTTGAGTTCAGGAATTTGAGACCTGCCTGCACTCAGTGGAGTGCAGTGACGCGATCTCGGCTCACTGCAAGCTCCACCTCCTGGGTTCATGCCATTCTCTTGCCTCAGCCTCCTGAGTAGCTGGGACTACAGGTGCCCGCCACCACGCCCAGCTAATTTTTTTGTGTTTTTAGTAGAGACGGGGTTTCACCATGTTAGCCAGGATGGTCTCGATCTCCTGACCTCCTGATCCGCCTGCCTCCCTCCCCTCCTGGTTCATGGCCTGCTAGTCCTACAACATTTGGCTCTTTCCCTAGGTCTCCACAGTATCCCTGTGGAGGTCACTTCAGAAGTTTCTCCAAATGAATCAGAAAATACATAGTGTCCGTTTCCGAAATAAAGTACATGGAAAGATTCTTCTCCTTGATGGAAAAGGACAAAATATTAAGTATTTGGGTCTCTCCTTCGGCAACTTGGTAAAGGATAAACACTCCTATTGTTTATCGCTTATTGCAGTACAATAAAGGAACTTTCAGTGAGCATTTCACTGTAAGCCTATGTCAGTGCCTAACATAGAAAGAGATGGCAAGATTTAAGTTCTGAATTTTCAGCCCCATCAGTTACTAGTTCAGTAACCATATCACTGAAAGTGCAAGTCACTACATCTTTTTAAGAGTAATTTTCTTGCCCAGGTGCAGCGGTTCATGTCTGTAGTCCCAACACTTTGGGAGGCTGAGGTGGGAGGATCGCTTGAGTTTAAGAGTTCAAGACCAGCCTGGGCAACATGGTGAAACCCTGTCTCTACAAAAGATACAAAAATTAGCTGGCATGGGGGCACGACCTGTTGCGCAGCTACTTGGAGGGCTGAGGTGGAAGAATCACTTCAGCGTGGGAGGTCGAGGCTGCTGTCAGTTGTGATTGCACCACTGCACTCCAGCCTGGGTGACAGAGCGAGACCCTGTCTCAAACATTCCTTTATCTCTGAATGGGAGTGATAATATCACAAGGAGCAGAAAGAGGTTTTAGGTTAAGTTTGACTACTCTTCATAGCAGAGAAAAATAAGCTGAATACTTAAAATAATTGAAAACGTGAACTCTCTATAAATCCTTTTGATAGTTCTCTAATATTCATGGCTGCCAAAATCGAGGGGTTTTTTTTTTTTAAGACGGAGTCTTGCTCTGTCACCCAGGATATAGTGCAATGGCACAATCTCAGCTCACTGCAATCTCTGCCTCCCAGGTTCAAGTGATTCTCCTGCCTCAACTTCCTGAGTAGCTGGGATTACAGTCGCCTGACACCCGTCTAATTTTTGTATTTTTAGTAGAGAAGGGGTTTTACCATGTTGGTCTGGCTGGTCTCCAACTCCTGACCTCAGGTGATCCACCCACCTTGGCCTCCCAAAGTGCTGGGATTACAGGCAGGAGCTACAGTGCCTGGCCTCTAGGCTACTTTTTATCAAACTTTTAATCAAAGTTTCATGTTACAACTCCTAGTTGGCTGAGGATTACTCTATTTGTTCTTTTCTAGGTCACTTCAGAAGTTTCTCCAAGTGAATCAGAAAATACATAGTGTCTGTTTCTGAAATAAAGTACAAGGAAAGAGAGATTCTTCTCCTTGATGGAAAAGAACAAAATACTTTCTTAAGGTTCTCAATGACTCATTGTGATGGGAGGGGAAGAGGAGGCAAAGGAAAAAAACCAATTTCAGTAAAAGATTTCAAGAAGTTGGTAAGAAAAATATAGGGTGGAAACTTTGTTTTCCTGCTACTAAAAAAAGATACTAGAACAGAACAAGGATCACAGCAAGAAATATGAGTGAGGCCAGACCATCTGACAAACCCTTCAAACTCATCCTTTCTACCGTCCCCATTAAATAGCATATTTAAACGTGAATCTTTGCTGACTCTGCCAAGAATCTTGAAAATGCCCAAGTTTCTGTACTAGAACTCACGGAAACCTGGTGAATACTAATATTACCTAAAAGCGCAGCAATACAGAGGAAATTCTCAGACTGGATGTAATGAATAAGAAGGGCACTGTTATTTCTTGCTGATTGTTTCTTGCCTGCAGTAAATCTTGCCTCATACTCTAAATCCTTGGTAGGCCATGAACAGGGGAAAGACTATAGAGTTGGAGATTACAGGCCTCAGGCATGCAACTCCTGTAGCTTTACCATTTCTCCTTAGGTTGGCTTCAGAAAGGACTCAATCCCCCAAGTGCAGAGATGAGGGTGTGTGGCACTAGAAGAGCTGATTTGGGGTGGGAACTTAGACTTCTTGTCTTACCTGGCTCCCACTTTCTATCACCTGTTTTGAAAATGTTTAGTACCTTGAACGTACATGGAACATACTGGTAGCGTTAACTGTGTGCCCTTATCTACCCTATGTACATGTGCCCTATCTATGTAAACTGTTTAACTTGGCTGAGAGAAAGTTTCACTGAAAGTTTTGGCAAGAAAGGGGACAGCCAGTCTATGGAAAATACAAAGAGCCACACTTAGGGAAAATAATTCGGTAAATGGCTGCCTTTGGTGAAAATCTAGAGTCCACTTCTAGAAGAAAATTCAAAGTTCATACACTGACCCTCGCCCCTCACGTTCCCCCTCCCTCTTACCTCGGATCACCACGGACAGTGAAGTAGGGTGGGGGAAGGGAGCAATGGCAACGTGGACGCTCAAGGCAGGGGACAGAATAACCAAAAAGAGTAGTTTCTGGGGGATAGAGAGAACGCTGGTGCAGAGGTGAAAGGGAAAGACGGTGGGCGGATGGAGAGATGAGGGCAAGAGACTGACAGCAGGGAGCGGGCAGAGCTGGAGAAGGAGAGTGGGCGAGAGCCAGAAAAGAGGAGGCTTAGGAGTAAAAGGGTAGAGGGCCAAGGGTAACAGCCCAGGGTTGGATCCGGGACGAGGGAGGGTATGAAGTGAGGGCTGGGCATGGGACAGGGCCCACAGGTTAGGTAGGAGGTCCGGCCAAAAAGGGGTTGGGCCAAGAAGGTGGTCCCGCCCGAGGACGGCTCAGGGAGCGGACGGAAAGGATCCAATTCCTAGCTTCATGGTGCCTTGGCGCCACCCTCACTCGCCTGCAGGATCCTGGCTCGCACTGCCGCCGCCGCCGCCGCCACTACCGCCGCCATGGCTCTCGGCCGCCCTAGCTCCGCAACCCGCTCCTCTACAGCTCAGACGCACTACAGCTGCCAGGCCTCGCCCTCCATCCTGCCGGGCTTCCTCATTGGTGGGGAGGACTATTTTCTTCAGCCAATCACTCGTCCTAACACCTGATTCCTCCTCTCACACCCCAGTCCTGGGGATAAGTGATTGGTCAGGAGCGAAAATGCTCGCACCCTCTCCTACCTCAGCCAATGCCGTTGGCGGAGGTAGAGAAGACGCCCCCGACTTGGACACTCCATACTGAGCACACGGAGGAGACGCCCCCCTAACCTGGAACTCCGATTGGCCAAGGACGCAACCGAGGCCCCACCCCTTCACTGAGCAAAGTAAATAAGACCCTCCAAGAATTTTGCTGTCGCTCCACCTCAACAACTGCATAAGGGGCGTGGCTATGATGAGGGGAGGGGCTGGGCGAAGATTGCCCTATGAGGCGAGGGAATGAGACGTGGCTGCGAGTTGGGGATAGGGTTTCTCTTTGGGGGCGTGGCTTATGGATCCTCGTTTTCCCGCCGACGGTTGGCCACGTCACGTGACATGGGTTGGAAGATGGCGTCTCCCACAGACGGTAAGAGCCGGCTTAGGGATGTTTGCCTGCAGCCTCCTTCTTTGCTGTATGGGGAACATCCACTCTGTCTCTGCCCCTCGAACATACATTTCTTTCTTGGGCTCTTCTCCTTTCCCTTTTGTTTTTTTTCTTGCGATCCATCGCCGTCTTCAGCTCACCGGTTCTTCGCAGCAGCTTCAGAGGTGCCCAGTTTCCCTGCTCTGTACCAGGCGTGTGGAGGAGGGCACTAGGGAGGGACTCATTCTGGGTAAAAGGACAGGGGTCGCCCTGGCCCTTCCTTATCTCTATTTGGGCGAGGCTGAGGGTAGAGGAGGAGATGTTACTGGAGGACGTGCCTTACTGTAGTTTTCTCCTTGGGGTATCCCATTGAAAGGATTAGTTCTCTTCTGATTGAGCGCACAGATGGAACGATTCTCAAACTCTCGCAGGGGCTGCTGGCTGACCCCATCTCGATAGTGAACCGCAAGAGAAACATGATCTCTCTCCTGTCTCCTCAGTTTGGGACCATTGCCGTGGCAGCAAGAGAAGCGGGGGACGTTCTCGGCCCCTCGCCGAGAGAGTCGCGAGGAGAATGAGTATTGAGCTTTTAAGTGTTGTCTTGCACAGGTCGCAACCGCTCTTTCATCTGCTTTACGTGTTGTTTCTTAAGGCTGAGTGAATGAACGATTTCTGTTTATATGTTGTGTAAAATGCAAGTCATCTCAAGTAACAAGTTGTTTTGGTATACTCCCATGCTTTTGCTTTTGGTTCTGCTTTAGAGAGGGTCTTGCAATCATTTTTAAACTCATTTTTAGTTCTACCATCCACATCCCAACTATATATCGATTTTATTGATATATAGGTTTCCCTCCCTTAGACAAACAGATTTTGTATTTGGAAGGAATCTTGGAAGTTCATTGCAGGAATGAAGAAATTGAAGCCAAGGTGAGCTGTATTGAGTACCTACTACATGAAAGGCATAATGCTAGGTGCTTTGGGAGACCAAAAGATGACTCAAACATACACACTTTTTTTTTTTTTTTTTTTCCAGTTTCAGTTCTCTTTTTAGATGTCACCTCCCAAAGAGTCTTTCTTAGAACACAGTATCTGGAGTTGCCCTTCCCCACCATTATTCATTGCCTCAGTATCTTCCTTGTCAGCATAGTTACTATGTTAACTTTGCCCCTTGTACGCTAGATTATAAATTACAAGTTTGTCTTGTTCATAGCTGGATCCCAGGTTTAGCACAGTGCCTGACGAACAGTAGGTCTTTAATTAACATGTATTGAAAGATTGATTAGATATGTGCAGAAATAATATATTACTTGATCTTAAGTTTTACGTTTAACCGAGTCTTAAATTTTGTGAGCACAGGTACATACTGTGTTAGAAATTATGGCCGGGCGTGGTGGTTCACACTTCTAATCCCAGCACTTTGGGAGGCTGAGGCAGGCAGATTGCCTGAGCTCAGGAGTTGAAGACGAGCCTAGACAACATGGTGAAACCCCATCTCTACAAAAAAATACAAAAATTATCTGGGTGTGGTGCCGTGCACCTGTAGTCCCAGCTACTTGGGGGGCTAAGGCAAGAGAATCACTTGAGCCTGGGGGTGGAGGCTGCAGTGAACCATGTTCATGTCACTGCACTCCAGTCTGGGTGACAAAGCGAGACCCCGTCTCAAAAAAAAAAGAAGGAAAAACAAGAAATTTGGATGTTTGGAGTCAAAAGAGATTCTCCTTCCTGGGTGCTCTCTTGCAAAAATGTCCTTCTCTCGCCAGAAAGAAAGGCATTTAAAAAGGGAATAGGGAGTTATTGTTAATGGGTACCAAATTTCAGTTTGGGAAGGTGAAAGTGTTCTGGAAATGAATGTGATGATTGCACAATTAATGTACTTAATACCACTGAACTCTATACTTAAAAGTTATTAAAATGGTAAAATTTATGTATATTTCACCACAATTTTTTTAAAAAGCCAAGTGATAGAAATAGAGGTAATTGTTATTAAATTTTTTAGTTTATTTTAAAATTGTTTTTACAAATTTTGGGGATTTTAGAGATGTGTTCCTTGAGTTTGGTTTTTTTTTTTCCTTGTCTTCTCTCAATTTAGTTTCCTTTCTTTGGCCAGGAAGAGTATTAAAAATGTTAAATTTTTTTCCTTTGGTCTTCTAGCCATCCCTATGGTCACTTTATTTGCACTCTTGATTTTTAAAAGTCTTCATTCTCATCTCTTACAAAGTTTTACTCCTTTCCACCTAATGTTTTCTTTTAATCTGAAAAAATCAAGTCAAGCACTTTGAACTTAAATTCAACGTCTCAGTAAGTATCTCATTCCAAAATATTCCATGGCCTAGCCTCACTTCTATTTTTAGTGTTCCACCTGTCACTGTCTTTAAAATTTAATTCAGATAACATTGACTTGAAAATGTTTGTCATTTACTCTTTTGTCTTTTTCGTGATAAATTTGCTGAAGCTTCTTTGAAAAGGAGAAAACTGAAATTCAAATACAGCCATCTAATTACTTAATTTATGAGAGTAAGACTCACAGCAGAGTCTGAGTTCTATCCCAGACTGTGGTATCATAAGGTCACCCGTGTAGGTTATTAGATTGTACCCCCAATAATTTTTTTTAAAATTTTCTTTTAGAGACAGGGTCTCTCTCACTCTATTGCCCATGCTGAAATGCAGTGGTATGATTATAGCTCACTGCACCCTCAAAGGCTCAAGCTATCCTCCCGTCTCAACCTCCCAAGTAGCTGGTACTATAGGCTCACACCACCATGCCCAGCTAATTTATTGTTATTATTATTTATTTTGTTTTGAGACGGAGTCTCACTCTGTCACCCAGGCTGGAGTGCCATGGCACGATCTCGGGTCACTGCAATCCCTGCCTCCTGGGTTCAAGTAATTCTCATGCCTCAGCCTCTCCAGTAGCTGGGATAACAGGCACACACCACCACACCTGGCTAATTTTTGTATTTTTAGTAGAGACAGGGTTTCACCATATTGCCCAGGCTGGTCTCAAACTCTTGACCTCAGGTGATCCACTCACCTCAGCCTCCCAAAGTGCTAAGATTACAGACGTGAGCCACCGTGCCCTGCCTTATTATTTTTTGTAGAGATAAAGTCTCACTATGTTGCCCAGGCTGGTCTCAAACTCCTGGGCTCAGACAGTCTTCCTGCCTCAGTTTCCCAAAGCACTGGGATTCCAGACACGAGCCACCGCACCTGGCCCAATAACTTTATTTTTGTTATGGTTGAACATTCCTCAGAAATTGGTAACAAAGAGAAGCTAATTTTTAATGCTTTAGTTAAGGCAGTGTATTAGTTGAGTTCTTTACAATTAAAATGCCATTGGAAATTCCTTTGGGATATTTGGCAAAACAAATTCAGTTTAGAGAAAAGTACATGTTGAAAAATTTTGTACATATGTGTATTTTCTGGGGAGTGAGTTCATTTTTTTTCCCAGATTTCCAAAGATGTGGCTTACCCAGAAAATGTTAAGAACCGCTGTTTATAGCATTAAATGAACTAGTTATGCAACTGGTTAGCATACTGAGCATACAATAAAAACTCAACGAATGTTAATATTGAGTACTACTCTGTGCAAGGGAAGAGTGGAAGAGAAATGATGTCAAAGAATTAGGCAGAGGCTGAGTAAGATTTTATAGAGTATGGTAGATACACATTCACAGATTTAACTGGGAGGAACTTTAAGCTGCAGAGTGACACGAACTGATTGACATTTTAAAAAATCATTTCTGGCCTCTTTATAGAGAATAGATTTGGGGACGTGAAGGGGAAAGGGTAAGAATGGGAGCAGAGAGATCTGTTAAGAGGCTGTTGAAGTAGTCCAAGAGGGAAGTGGTGGTTCCTCGGGTTATTCGATTTCAGGATGTATTTTGAAGGTAGAAATGACTAGATTTACTCATGGATTGGTTATGGAAGGGTGAAGGAAAAGAATGCATGAAGGATGACATCTGGGTTTTCGATTTGAGAAGTAGGGTTTATGGTAGTGCTATTTCTTGAGATGGGAGAAGATTGGGGGAATATGGTTTTGAAGATAATTAGGTTTAAGTGGGAATTTTTTTTTTTTTTTTTTTTTTTTTTTTTTTTGAGACAAGGTGTGGCTCTTATACCCAGGCTGGAGTGCAGTGGTGTGATCTTAGCTCACTGCAGCCACCACCTCTGGGCTCAAGCCATCCTGCCACCTCAGCCTCCCAAGTAGCTGGGACTACAGGCTGACACCACCACACCTGGCTAATTTTTTGCTTTTTGTAGAGATGGGGTTTCGCCATGTTGGCCAGGCTGGTCTCAAACTCAAGCAATCCACCCATCTCGGCCTCCCAAAGTGCTGGGATTACAGGCATGCACCACTGCATCTGACCTTAAGCGGTTTTTTCATATGTAAATAGAGAGGGATTCAAATAACCACTTGGACATAAACCTTTGTAGTTCTTTAGAAAGGTTGGCAATGGAAATGTAAATATGGAATCATTGGCATACAGATGAAGATAAA